TATATATATATATATATATAATATATGTATATACATGGTCCGAGTGTAGAGTGTTTCCCTAACAGCAGTGTGATGTGCTTGATTTGTAATTGTGTATGATTTGAGCTAGATTTCTGAGAGGCAGTGGAATAGCTGCCCATGGTTACTATCTCACTATGAATCATGAAGAATTATCATAACGCACAATTACACGCACAAACGCTCATAAGCAAATGTATGTATCAAACGTTGTTCCTTTTTGTAGGGTGAGTGAAAATTAATATATATATACATTTTGTGAAACAATGTATAATGCATGACTTTGTAACAAATTGATTAGCAGGCATACACAGAAATTCCAGCAATGAATAATTATGACTATAGTTTCATAAATAATAATTATAAACGAGCGACGTAATATAATAAGAACCTGCATTCTCAACAATTTAATGTATCCGTGTGCATATTCAAGCATCAAGTGTGTTTTTATGCTAGACATGTGTTTGTTACAAATAAGTTTTTTATAAATAATAGAAACGATTGAGCGACGTAATGTAATAACAGCGTTCATTTTCAATAACTCAATTTAACCGAGTGTTTGTTACAGCGCCACCTGTGATAACACAAGACAGTTCGAGGATCCTGCAGGTGGGTGAGGGAAACAAAGTCTACCTGGTGTGTAACGCCACAGGGTTCCCAAAGCCTCGAGTCTACTGGCAGCGCGAAAACGAGGCCATCCTGCCGATGGGTGGATTCCAATTCTGGTAAGATGTCTTGTAGCGGTTACACAATTATTATGTTCTATTATTGATGCGCATGCGTCATTCTCTTTGTGCAGCGAAGATCGTGGTGACAAACTGGCTAAGCGGTCGCTCAGGCAACTTCGCTCGTGTTCTTGTTATGCACTTCGCCAACCACACAATTATGTGTCTTATGGTCGGTTAGTGTCAGGGAAACGCACGGGTGGTGATACTAATAGATTTATTTGCGAGAGTCTTCAAAAATGTTTACTGGTGTTGCAGTCTCGTTAGCTGATCTGCTAGCTGTCTTTATCAAGTTGCATGGGTTTGTTGGCTTGAGGTGCCACCAGGTGGCAGTAGTTGGCAGGTTATGCAGGTATTTGGGTATGCTTTCCCACCGGGTATTAGGTGTGCTTTGCACCCATGTGGCCACTGCGATTAACCTATGCGCATGGAATGATTAATCGACAGAAATATAGAATAGAGTGACGAGAATAGAATGATAGAGTCAGAAATATATGCCATGAAAAACCTATTGAAACTGGATAGGCTTGATCGAGCTAGCATGCAACACTATCCGAAGCGAATTTGTATATCTCACTTATACGGGTCATATGTCAGTTCCCTACATTGCTGTGTAGGGATGGTCCTACCCTGTGGTCAATGGATAAGGCATGCTAATCATTCAGTCATTATATGGGCAGCTGCTGATTGATGTGGGTGAACGATTCATTACATCGATCCTTTGTATTCTCATAAGCAAGGGAAAATTCCTTTAGTAATAGTGATGTTCGTTTTTTTTTGCAGGGGGAATGTTTTAGAAATCAATGCAATCAGCAGGGAAGATCGAGGAATATACATTTGTTACGCGACCAACAGTGTGGGCAGCGGAGATAAGAGATCTATTCCTGTACTTGTCGAATGTAAGTGTGTGTTACCTCAACATGTGTGACATTGCCACCATGTTTGCATGTGTTCTTGATAGAATCTGAGGCGACCTTATGTGAAGAAATGTGTCTGATTACATCTGAGGAAAATACATGTATACAAGTGAAGATATGCACCCACTCCAGTTGTACTATACCACCTTGTATATACATGTCCTGCATGTGTGTGCATGCGTTTGTACTGTATACACCTTGCAATATACACTGCTCCTCACAGAGCTAATACATACCTAGCAGTGCGTACAACCGGCAAAAACGGGCACAAAATAGCCTGCTCATTGATTTCCACGACATTGATTCTATTCTACTCTTGCTGCGAGATCTAGAGATACATTTGGTATTAATACTGTCATTAAGCAGCAATTCTTTCGCGCCCTCTCTAAACAAGACCAACCGCTTGCGTCAATACCCAATACTCCTAGGCTGAGATCATATGGCCTCCTAAACCCTCCCCCCTCCCCACAGGCATCACAGCGCCTCCGCAATCACATACAGTCGGCCCAACCGCATACACGCCCTCTAAGCCATTTCGGGCTATCGCTTTCCGCTCACCGCCATCGAGCCGCTGCATCAATTGACTCGCCTCACATTGCCCCAAATTATGCCCGTACTCTTACTAGACCATCTAGGCTAACTGAGCCTGCCGTACCTGTAAAACATTAACTTAAGAAAACATTCCGCGCTCCATCCATCGACCGGTGCTTAAGGCAAGATAATGCGCAAGCGATAATGGCATAGCGCGATGTCCCCGCAAAGTCACCATATGATAAACGAAATTGCCGTTCATCATAAAAGTTATAGGCGAAAAACACCGAACTTGTCACGAAGCAAACCTTAGAGGCCGTGTAGTTTGCGGACTGCCCATTGCGATTCGAGGCGCCTGGTCGATCGCCACCTGCTGACCGCGCAGGGGAGGTGTATGGCAGCCAACGATCTCAGCCTAGCGAGTATTGTATTGAACAATGCGCACGCTTGCCGTCTTGTTTTACGAGCAGCAAAGAACTTCATGCTTAATGCCGAGCTACCATAAAATGTATTCTAGACTCGGGCAGGCCAACAGCTAGAATGAATCCATGTCCGTGAAATAGCACATTTTCTCGCGCCCTTCTTATCCGTTGTACACTCTCAGGCTATTATTAGCTTCTTGATGTCAACCTTTGCATGTGCTGCTGCCGGTGCGTTTGTTACCCGTCGCTGTGTTGTGCTGAGAAGAGAGGAGAGCAGTATGCTGTATGTTGTGTTGCTGCGTGCCGCTGGACAGCCGTCCGCCTGCCGTGCGTGCGTGCGCTGACGCTGCTTGCTGCCCGTGCGTGCATTCGGTATGCGTGTGTGTGACGATGCATGCTGCCACGCATGCATCAGCTGCTCGTAGCTAACTGCGCTCGCTCGCCTTCTGCTCGCCAGCTTCCGCCCGCTCGTCAATGGTGCCACGCACCCGAGGCTGCAACGTTCGCCAGACGGCGGCCAGTCAGCCTGAGCTGCGCCAGTGTCCAGTCGTGCAGGGCGTTCCCCGATCCGTGCGCGCTCGGACTTCGCGTACACGATCGCGCGCGAACTCTCGTGCCGCAACCTCTGTCGACCGAGATCTACCGCCACGACCGCAACCTAGGTCGCCGTACACGCAGGTTGAGTTAGCCACACCGCATTAACTTATATTAAAATATTGAGACATTAAATCGAGGATAATTATTTTTTAATATATATATTTTTCATTAATAATTTTTATTTTTAAATTAATTATTATTTGCTGTTGTTGTTGTTGTTGTTGTTGTTGTTGTTGTTGTTGTTATTATTATTATTATTATTACTATCATTGTTATTATTTTTATTATTTCAATGATTATATTGATCGTTTTTATTTTTGTTTTCATTAAAAGATTGGAGAAATAAATGGTGTGTTTATTAGCTTTTTTAACAACGCTTAATCGGCGTAGTTGCGCTCTTATAAATTACAGATGACCAACACCAGCCCAAGCTGTCGCATCACAGCTACTGCCTGCAGGACCGCAAGCCACTACGGCAGTATCGATGTCATACTGAGAATGCAGAAGGGCAGGCTGGCAGATGGCCTATGCCTTAAACCTTGCTCACGGCTAAAACATCCCGAGCCATACTCGCGGGCTGCCGAATCTCTCAAGGCGTCCGGACCACTTCAGTTTAACGACTTGTTTTAGGCGCGCAACATGGGCATTGCCCTCTTAATTTAATCAGCAAGTTTAGCCATCGTTGGCCCAACGAACAAATAATTTTTCCTGGTCCGATCGCAAAGTTTTTGCGTGCATTGCCAATGTTGGTATACAACAAGTCCTGCCACTATGCACCCTTCGAACGACATCATTGTTATACTTGCCATTTCAATTGTGTTTATGATGCGCTGTTTTTTTTTGCCAGTGAACCGGTAACCTGCCGTTATAATTTTGCGTGTCTGCTGCAGCTGACGCAGTGCGAGCCAGTTGAACCACACCACGGACTGCAGCCGCTTCCGGTCGTCACTTGCGCGTTCTGATTGCCACATTGGTGTGGCTGTCATCTACTTAGCCACGCTTTATCACAGCCAGTACTTTCACATCATCAGTGTTCATGCATCACTATCAAGGCTAACATAGCCAGAGTTTAAACGATTATATTGCAGTCCAGTCCTATGAAGTATTGTTAAAAGAAGCACGTTATAGTTTTTTGTAGATTGCGGCAGATACCAAACTGAAAAACGCTGGACAATCATTCACAATGCCCTATCTAAGTTATATGAACCATGCCGCATAATTGCTACATTACATTCATAGGCCCTGCATGCCATTTAGCCCTAAAAAAATACTACCACAATCATTTTCTCGCATACGCTAACTCATGAAAGCCAAAGACAAAAATTCACCGACAATCTCCTATTATGGCAGACAGTTAGACAAATTCTACCCGATGCCCTGATTGTCAATACTACGGCTTATTAGTTAAGATGACGGCTCTGCTGATTCGGCGCCTGTATGGCTATGAAATGCCATATCCATGGCTGTATATTTTACATCCATATCATTAGCACTAAAGCATGCTTTATTTGTTAACAACGCGTCACGTTGCATACTCCCCTCTGCTAGAGCCGCAACGATAGAATGCCGAAACGTATAAAGTTCTCTTTTACCACTTGCCCGTTCTCGCTTCTTAGCCCCCGCATTTTTATGTAACGACCTCTAACGCCCTTGCGTATCCGGCTTGTTCTTTCTAAGTCATTTAATCAACAAATTATTAGTAAGAGGGGCAACATGTTTATGGGAATCAGAAAAGGTCTATAAATCAATTACTCGGCAACTGAGATATGGGATACCCCATCAGGACCCCCATAGACTGCGCAAGATAACGGCGCCGACTGTTGTTTTTAATGAAGGACAGAAAAAGCCTCCGCACGCTCTTGAAATGCTTGATGGGCATATACGACACTGCCTGCCAATCCTCGTGACGCATGGCAATGTTGGCTTTTGCCATCGTAGCTTCCAGCTTGCAGATGCCATTTATTATACGAGTTTTACTTGTG